ATAGAAAAGGGTCTGAAGATTTATCATTCCGTGACGCAACCCACTAGAATCTTAGTTGGCCGGCCATCCCAACCCTTGAGCGGCCCTGCTGCGTCGAAATCCCACGGTAGGGGGAGAGGGGGAGCCATGAGGAAGGTCATGGTCCGTAAGCGCCTTCAATCGTCATTACTCTGTTAGTCTCTGACTCAGTATGAGCGAGCCGGCGTACGATTCCCTCTCTAAAACTCCACCTTATCTCAAGGGTCTATGACCACCCTGCTTCGTGATCATCCGCGCACGGTGTCCGGTCATCCGCGCACGGTACGTGGGGGGGTGGGATGGAGGGGGTTGGTAAGCTTCGATGTTCACGCGTAACAACTCACGCGAGTGGATGGATGGTAAGCGTCGGTGGGACGCGGGGTGGGGGGGGGGGGCGTGGTAAACTTCAATGTTCATGCGAACCAACTCACGCGGGTGAGTGGATGGTAAGCGTCGGTGGGACGCGGGTGGGGGCGGATGGGGGGGGCGGAAGTGGTAAGCTTCGATGTTCACGCGAACCAACTCACGCAGGTGGGTGGATGGTAAGCGTCGGTGGGACGCAGGGTGGAGGGGGGGTGACAAGCTTCGATGTTCACACACGACGCGAACTAACTCACACGGGTGGGTGGGTGGCAAGCGTCGGTGGGACGGAGGGGGATGGGGGGGGGGTGGTAAGTTCACGCGAACCAACTCACGCGTGCGGGGGGATGGGGGGGGGTGGTAAGCTGTTCACGCGAACTAACTCATGTGGGTGGGTGGATGGTAAGCGTTGGTAGGACGCGGGGTGGCGGGGGGGGGGGGGGGTGGTAAGCTTCGATGTTCACGCGAACCAACTCACGCGGGTGGGTGGATGGTAAGCGTCGGTGGGACGCGGGCTGGGGGAGGATGGGGGGGGTGGTAAGCTTCGATGTTCACGCAAACCAACTCACGCACAATGCGGGGGATGGGGCTGGGTGGATGGCAAGCGTGATGTCTGGAAACTCGAACACCCTGCCGGCTTCTGATGTGTGGAGCAAAACATCCCTTTTTTGTTACCACGTGCACGGATGACCAGGCCGATTTGCGGTACTGACCATGAGTTCTGAACATGACACGTGTACAAATGACCAGTTTGACACGTGCACCGATGACCGCCCAACCACGTGCACAAATGACCCCCCGCCCCAAGCAGGAGCCCGTTTGTTAGAACCCGTTTCGGGTTCCCTGACAAATGCACCACCGAGCTTTTGACTTCGCGCCTTGAATGGCAAAGGAAATCCAGCTCAGAGCGAGCCCACTTGCAGCGGCTTCTGTGCGCTCGAAGGGTAGAACTCGTGCTCTTTTGTTCGGGCTCGGCTCGGCGGTGAAATGCTGGGGCACTGCATTGAACAAAGACGTGACTCCCCAGTTCACATGCTCAATATCCTTCAGAGTTTGTGCCTTTGTCAACTTTTTCTGCCACCTTGCTGGGGAAGAACCAATGTTTGTTTTGATTTGTGGAGCCCCCAATGTTGAAAGCTGGGACTTGGAGTAAGATGTCACATGTCATGGCCTGATGCCCACCGGTGGGATGAGCCAATGGCGGCAAATGCAAGCAAGCTCACGCTGGCACAGCGGTTGAGCTTGGCAGCTTGGCAGCCTGTTGCCCGCCATCAGTCTGGCTCTATCATTTACAAAGCTGAATCAGGACTCTCCTAGTAAAGAAGCTTCATCATGTGCGAGCTCGTTTGATTTCCGGGCTGAGCTCGTTAATTGGGAATTGCCCAGAATCAGTGATTTGTGCTGAGTTGAAGCGTGATCTCGCCAGAACGTGGCAAGCAAGCTCACCAAATTGCCAACTTGTAGCATGAGAACCAATGATACCCAACTAGGACCATGGTCCCCCCAAAAGAAAACTCGTTACCCTGCGGTGTTTATGGCTGTCACTCCCGAAGTGGAACCCACAGCTGTAGGGCACGAATCATGACTCTTTCTGTCAGAACCAACACATCGCTCATTTGTGGAACTGGCTCAATTGAGTCGTTATAAACCTTTATATGAGCCCTACCATAATCCTCGCCAAACAATCCCCACTAGACCAGGTAGCAGCACCCTCTACTAAATGGCCAACAGGGCCTTCGGACGCCCAATCTGCTCCAAGGTCAGACGTACCTAGGGGTACCGAGGCTTACCCATGCCCCAAATGGACCACAAGCCGGAGGAAATGCTGATTGAACCAAAGTGGTATGGTGAAAATTACCTAGGCCACGCTCATGTTCTCTGCGGAATCCTGAGATCGTTTTCTGAATTCCGTATGCACATCATGACCATTCCTGCTATGCCCAAATCATTGCGCTGGTCTTTACCAGCTTCCTGGTATCAAAGGAATGCCTGCAAGGGTTCTTCAAGCAAGCGGCATGTCAGCATTTAAAAGAGGCTCGGCCCAACCCTGGTTACACCCCTTTCGCAACAGCCTGACGCAGTGCGTGGACATTTTGACGGCCTTGCACCATGACGCTCGCTGAAACCTCCCGCAGAACGCTGCGACGGTGCGAAGAGCCCACGAAGACACGGGAAAAACGCGCACTCTCCATTGCCCAAAGCGCTTCAAAAAGGAAAAACTGGGAGTTCTGGAAACAAATACACCTCTTGAAACAAACAAGTCCTTCAACAGCACGAGGATAACCAACTTGGAACGTACGCAATGAAAATCCCATATCACGCATCCCTCGCTTCCTCCTCGCAGCACAAAGGGGCCCGGTTGTTCAGGCCCCGATGCTGGAATTGTACAAACTCGCACTCAAGCCTGCAAGCGGGCCATTCCGTCGGGATGTCTCGAGTCTATCGTCTTGCTTTCTGACACATCTGAGGACAAAGTACTGTCGAACCGGATGAAACACTCAACCTGACAGAGTATTCTGGAGTGTTTCCCAATAAAGTGAAGGATCCCAAAATTGGACCCCCCCCAAAAAAAAAAAACAATCCTAGGTTGCCATCAGTTGCAGTGGGCGGATGGGAAGACCATATTCAGATGTATATCCTTTGCCGGCACGACTTGCGAGGGCCAGACCGCTATTGCATCGCAAGTGGATCCAGCACTTTGATCGGTGAAACGCTTCTCTCATAACTGGACCAAAAAACGCGAGGCGCCAGAAGGTTAACCGGGGCCAAATCAGGGAGACCTTGACTTGTTTCAACCAACCTGTTCACGGCCCGGTTCTCGGCTGCTTCGCTCAAGCTATGAGTGGAAGGATCTGCGGGTTTCAGTCTCCTTCCGTCTGTGGAGTGACAAGTCGCAACCCTTTGGGCACAGGACTTCAGAGACTTGGACAGGAGACATTTAACTCTACAAATTTTTGAGACCCTTTTGTTTCATGCCTCTTGAACAAACCAGTCTCATTGTCTCCTGTCTCAGCCGGCGTTGACGTGACGTGGTAAGCGGCAAGCGGCTGAAAGCAACAGCACAGTTTTGTCTTATGATGCGGTTGTTCTGCACTTATTACTTTGCCACGACTTGAATTCCAGACTTCCGACACTTCCTAAGTATCTACTACCTATCTGCAAATCAAACCTGGCATAAGGAATCGTTTTGCCATCGAGGTAAGCTCGCCATACTTGGACAAGATGAGTCCAAGCGTAAGTTTTGCTACGCCCTTACAAAGGGCTGCCCATGGTCTGCATCCCAAGTCCTTTAGGCCAAACAGGACTTTTTCCATAGTAGAAGAAGAGGGGTTGCCACACCCGGAACACGGTGTTCCCAAAACCGGGGTCAACACGCTTCTGACCCAACCCCGGCTGAACCAGGTGAGCCGTGCCAAATACTCTTGTGTAAAAAGCGGTCCTATAAACTTGCTTTCGCGGCGGACCGTCACACAGCATGCAGGCTTTCGCGGGTCTTTCGCGGTGGGACCTTCTTTGGTTACTTTCGCGATAAGCTTTCGCAAGCTTTCGCGGCCTGCGTTTTGTCTTTCACGGGGATTCTATAGGACACCCCCCTTTACTACTTTGTATTGTCAGGGTTTATGGCGCTGCTCAGGTGAATCCAGTTCACATTCTTCAGGGAATTCACAGGGCTCACCTCGCCGAAAATTCCACAGGCCATTGGCCAGCTCACCACAATCTAGTGCTGCAGCGCTGCCTAGCACTCAGCGCGCAACCTGAGGCAGTCGGTCCGGGGAGAGTCTCGAGACATGCAGCTTTTGCCCCTCTCAAACCACAGGAACTTGAGCTGGGGCAACTCGACCAAATCAGGCATATGGCTATGGGAAACCCTCATTAGGAAAGGTTGGATAGCAAATCCGCAGCTCATTCACCAGAGGAACCCCACCCAAAATTCCCACCCTTTTTCAAAGGGAAGCCCTCAGAGCTTCCTGGCCCGTCCTTCCTTCCAAGGGTCAGGAGCAAAGACCTCCTTAGAACTGTTCTTTCCAAAGCTCAGCCGTCTTATGAGTGTCATGTGCATAATTGCCAAGCAACAAAGCATTCACCGTGCAGATGTTATATGTATATTGTTTCCTGGGCTTAAGCACGGGTGAATGCGTGAAACATTCCTGACATCACTCCAAAATGATGCGATGTGATCTCCCAATGTTTCCGTGTCGCTGCAGATTCCTTTTCCCGGCAGATTAGCATTGAACCCAAAGAGGGACTCGCCCAAGGTTCCTTCACAAAGGATTTGGCTCCAATGTTAACCAGCGTATCATAGGTGCGAATTTCTGTTCCTCGCATTCCAATCTCGTGACTCGCACTCTCCATCCTGGGAATGGGAACAAATGTACTGAGTACTGATGGATCCGTACAGCGCCAGTGTCTCGCTCTCTCTATCTGCACGTCCAGTCGGGGGTTGGACACACAGTCTCATGGGTCCATGTCGAGGCTTTTCGGAAGCTGTTCTGGCCAACCTGTTCTGAGCAACAATGCAGCCATCTCCAAAATGCTCAGTTTGGTGAGTTGCGTTGCGCCTGCAGGATTCGAACATTCAATAGGAAGGCCTCCTTCAATGGGGCATCCTCTGCTCCAAATCGTCACCGCCGCCTCTCCTCCCCCTCGCCATACAGCACGTGCGCGCAGCGGAGAGCAACATCTGCCATATGCTGCAGAGAGCAAAGGCTGGTGTTGAGCCTGCGCTGCAGGTGTCGCCACAAGAGTCCAAAACCTACTCCAAAGAAGTAGCCTGCAGCCAACTGAACTGCAGAATGGGCGCCCACGTGGAAGCGAACCAACGCCATGCCCAGCGCCCAAATGCCCAGCAGAAACGCAAAGAGCTGCGAAAGCAGCGGAGAGCAGGGCCGCCAGCCGTCGAATTTCGCCCGCAGTGCCAGCTGGGTGACCAAAAAACCGGCAAAAGCCGTGTGCTCCGATGGCATTCCATAGGGCCCCTCCGACGGAAGGACGAAAGGTGGATCTTCCCGAGGCCGCGGGTGACGCAAATAACCTTCAGGGCCAACGAAACGGTGGGAATGAATGCTTCGGTGGTCATTTTGGGTGAGAAAGTTCGTTAAGGAGATTATTATTTTTTGTACCCCTCGAAGACACCTCATGTGCGAGCCGTTCGGATCCCTTGAAACACAGGACAAGAAACGCAACTGCTAACCCACAGCATCACAGTGTGAGCTACATGACGACTTCCGATCTGGTCTCTTTCTGCCAGGAGAGATTCCAAATCCACATTTCATCCGGCGACCCCGTCTCAAACCACTCCCAGACTGCGTGTTTGCCATCCCGGCCTTTCAGAGCGAGGCAGTTGCAATCCAAGAGAACCGCCCCGAGGCCGGTCCAGAGCCAAAGCACTTGCCCTGAGGCGCAGGCCCCCAGCAACGCGACCCCAGCGGGGATCGAGGTGCCAAAGGCCCAGCCGCAAAGCGTCCAAAGATTGGAGGCCATGGCAGACTGACTGGCTCAAGACAACCTTTGCAGATCGCAGTTTCGGGATTGCAACTAGATCCTTCAGTATAGAGGTTAGAATCAGAGTACCCTTTTTTTTCTGTAGTCTAGTTTGGTGACCCAAAAAAGAAACGGTAAAAGGGCACTACTGGGGGACCTAAGCAACGGCATCTTTGGGTTGACCAACAAACCCCACCTTGAAACCGCACCATACTCAGACGCACGCGGGCCGTCCCTGGTCGTGGCCGAGCGGCGCGAATTCGGCACACAGAAAACTGGGCACCTCGGGTTTGTTTCCTTATTAAAAGGATTCCTCTGGGTAGGCAGGTACCCTCCCCCCCCGCGGTGAGAAGTGTGTCCATTCTAAAAAGACTTCAAGTTGCTTCACCTTCTGTGAGCTCCCAAGCCCTTTGTTCGGATCAAACCATCTCCACTTGTTTCTGGCATGCACTTCGGTGGCCAAGTCCATTCCCACAAAGCGGCTTGGTTGGTCCATCTTTCGTACCTTCGGCCCAGAGCTATCAACATCACTCCACATGGAAGCTGAGGGCCTCTTTCAAGCTTAGTGTTGTTGCCAGGGGCCTGCCCTTGGGGTTCCAGCAGTAGTGTCTGTGTTGAGCTTTCATGAGATACCAAAGGGACATCACAAATTGCGGCGGTTCCCCCCATTGGAGACAAACCTGCATGCACACTTGTGATCGCGAGTGATTGCGATGACTTCTGACGCATGTGAGTCATGCGTTCAACGCCAATCGCAATATGCCACCATGAGATCCGTAGATATGTGTGTGCGCGCATGTATGTGCAAATGCACGGGTCAATAAACATAAATATAGAAATAAACCAACGAAGCAACAACAACAATACATACCTTGCAACAAATACGCACATGAACAAATGAATATATGTTCATCAACAAGTCCATACGCAAGCAAACACACAATAAGTAACCAAGCAAACAAAAGCATAATAAGAATAACTAAATACACAAATACAACAAACAACATACAATAAATACACAACGTAAATCAGTACATAGAAGGGACACTAACTAGCTATATATATATATGAATCAATGACTACTAAAAACAATCACCGAAATAGGTAACCACACCTACAACACACGAATAGGGCAACACACACACACACTACAACTGGACAAATCAACTAAATGAACAACCACACAACTACGTAGTGAAAACAATCAGAATAGCTTGATGGATAAATAACAACACATGTATTCACACACACACACTTATACATATATATATATATATATACGCTGTGCCATCACCCATGCAACATGTAGGCACATGCAGGCACACGCACACAACACATTATGCATTGCTAAGTCTGTGCACATATATATATATATATATATATATATATATTATATATATACACGTATATACACATGTATGATGTTTACACACACCAACACATCTATGTCAATGTATACTTAGACAGACACAAATGAGTTCAGACATGAAGGGCTGGGACGATGTGAATGCCGTGCCTCGTCCAATGACAACTCTTCCCTGCTCAAGCGTGCAAGGAAAAGGCTTGGACACACTATCTGAGTCACCATCAAAACCTGGAATAGTACTGGTCCACCCGAATCCCCCCAAAAAAAAAACAGGGACACCGCACCCGATTGCCAGTCCAATTCATTCTTCCCTTATCGGCTAATGGAGCTGGTGAGATGAGATGGGCATTTCTCTCCCTTTGTCTTACCTCCCACATATGGATATATTAAAAAAAATACTCGCACAAACATATACACGTATAAAAAAGGCAGAGTATAGACCTATCTGAAGTCGACCTTCGAACCCTCCTGATCAACTTATTGGTGGTGTCGACACCTTTTTCCGGCCGAAGGAAGACACCTCTCCGCCAGGCAAATGTTTGCCAGCGAAACGGCCGCGGAACGGGGGGCGCGGCATTAACGTGTCTCATCACTGTTCTGAATCCTCAGATGTTCTGGATGAGTTTAGACATATCACGGGTGGGGTATCGGCACGGTCCTCGACCATGGTTTCAGACATTAACTGAGCCACCCAAACCTTCTGTGACGATGGCCGGCATGAGACGCCAGCAAAGGTTAGGGTTCGGGCTCAACGCACGAGGGACGATGCTAGTGGCTTGCCGGCCGCGGAAATCCGTATGCCCCAAGGCACTCCACCACAAACAGGTCCAGCAGTACGGGCCAGTATGAGTGTCTCCAAAAAATAGGGACCCCGTTTGGATGCTTGAAAGCCCTACATTTTGAAACACCATGCATGGCCTGAGCAATCCTGTATTGTCGCCGGTTTGGCCTTTGGGATCCCACAAATGCGGGGCACACTCTGGATTCCCCCTCATTCCTCGTCCGCATCGAAACTGAGGCGCTGCTTCTTCTTGGAGAAGGCTGCAACAACCTCCTCCTCCTCCTTTGGCTTTTTCCGAGGCCTGCCAATCTGAAGGCGCTCGGGCTTCGCGTCGCTCTTGGGCTTCTGGAATTTCCTTGGACAAAACTCTACGCCAGGCCTGCTTCCCCAGTGGCCTGGTTGTGGAAAGAGCCATCAAGAAAGGGGAGCCAATCTCTAGACATACCCATGAAAGCACCAAACATGCCTTGTCCACTTTCGTCTCATGAAACACCCGATGACTGCACCCATGACTCAATCAAGGGTTTTGAAATCCAACGCGCTCCGATTGGAGTTTGAACAAGGATCATTCGGGGGGCAAAAGAACACACATTGTTTTGCTTGGTTGAGACTGACACACAACCAAAAAGGTAAAACAAGGGAACCACTGGCGAAAGACTGATTCCACAGGTCCATATATTATATGAACCCATGGCCATTCTGTAGGGTTCAAATTAAAGGTATACACTTCATACCAGGGTTTGATATATGGACGTCCAAATTCAGCCTTTGAAGTGGAGGTCGGCCAAGAATCATGACCTTGTCCCCTTCCTCTTCAACAGCAGGCTGCGGTGCAGCAGCCGACCTTCTTCGCTGGAAGACCTTGATGTCTTCCTCGGGCTGCAATTGATGTGGGTCGACAGGATGAAAGTAGATGGCACATATTCCCTTAATGTCAGGTAAGCAAAGCGGATGGCTAACCCGAATTGGAGAGGTTGTGCCATCTACTTTCACCCAACTGTAATTGTCCATTCATGTTATGGCATAGACGTTTGCTGAACACCCGGGCAGAGGAAGAAAGCAAGATAGAAGCTGGCGCTGATTTAGGATGCCCGGACGAATCCAAGATTTCTTTGGACGAATCAATATGCCATTTCTAGAAGTCTTCGACAAAAAAAAAAAAACATGGAACCTGAGGGTGACACGTTAAAGAAACGCAAAACCAACTGCAACTCGATCTGTCCATGTGTATCAAATGCAGGTAATACACCTCCTGAGGAGATAAGTGTACATGCTTCTGGGCAATCGGCCAATTTCTATGACTATTTCACTTTGTTTGGATTCCCCAACGGCAACTCTCGCGCATGGCAACCTACAAAACATGTTCCGATGTCCTCGGTAAGGTTGCTGTCCACAATCTGCGCATCTTCGAAGTCGTACTCGTCATCATCATTCCTTCCTGCATGCGAGGACATGATCCGCTAAACTCTGCGGTCATCAATCCAGGTCGTTCAATAATGTAGAGGTGCAATCCCTCAAAGTAGGCCGAAAGCCCAGAGAAAGCAACTCAAGGGTCCCCCAATTCGCTTAGAACAATTCCTGCCCCCAATTGCCCCCTTTCAACATCAACATAGCAAAGGGAAGCTGTCATCAACGTTGGCCCAACTGGTCCTATTTAAACCACCCTGGAAAGAGACCTATAAAAACCAGTGCTGTGCATTTGGTTCTTGAGGGTACCCGTTTGCTGGGTTGATTGAAACAGGAACCCAAAGTAACATATTGCCTTTTTTGGGGCCGGGGATCCCGCATTTGGAGACGAACCCACTTCCCATGCCTAGCGGTGAGCTCTTGTCCAAGAGCTCCGCATGCTGCAGGCCGCGCTTGTCTTCCGCCGGCTTGTACTTGGCGTGGATGTCTTGCAGAAATTTGGGCAGAACCTGCAACCGGCTCACTGACATTCCACCTCTTTCTCCAGCCTTTCCTCCTTTGCCACCTGATTTGCCGCCTCCGCCGCCTCCGCCACCTCCGCCGCCACCTTTCCCTCCTCCTTTTTTGCCCTTTCCGCCTTTGCCGCGGGGGCCTTCATCATCCGACATGGCAGGACTCTGACTTCACCTGCTCTTGCACCAGAAACACCTGCAGCCCAAAACATTCGTGCAAGCAACTGTCCCATGAGGGCTCTTTTTTGGGGGAAACGCATGCATCGCGCACTTCAACTAGCCTCGTCGCAGCGATCAACAGGCAATGACTCAGTGTCTACCCGTGTCTAAGACGTGATTTCCGGTCAGTCGGAGAGAATGTGGATGGCAAACATGCTGCGAGGGTAAGACAAACATTGACGCCACGTGCTATACGTAGAAGGCCAAGCAGACTCTGCCCAAGAGGGCCTCAAATGGACAAGTGAGCTATCGTCTGAGGCGATTCCTGGAATAGCTGGGCTGTTCAGCGTGGACCACATCTGCAATATGTCGTCCGGCGCCTGTTTGGAGACGGGCTGCCAATGGAGCAGTCAGTCCTTCAATTTGCTTAAGCCCCCTGGACAATATACACATATTTTCAGTAGTGACAGTTTCCCTTTAAAACCCACAAGGGGAAAATATATTAAGCAAATGGAAGCGTCCTTATAAGTGGGATCAGAACCAATTTCCCACAGGCGCCGCGGAAAATGTCATCCGAATGTTTGCTCAACACGCCCGCGCGTATTCTCCAGCGACTCCTAGCAAGTAGGGAGAAAAACCGTAGCCCAGTTTTTGATAAAAGGTGATCACCTTTTGGGACCATGACCAGAAATGGGAACCCAAAACGAGAAAACCAAAAGGTTAAAAGGTCGGCTTTGGGCAACTGAGAGGATCTGAATTCACCAAATTGGCATTAATGTCTCCCCAGGGGGAAATCTACATCTTTTAAAAAAAAGAAACATCTCCGGCACCTCAGCATGGGATATCTGAACTGCTCTGGGAATCCGTCCATCTGTTTGCGATACCCCCACTCAACTCCTCAAACCAACACCCGGTGAGGTTTGGCACCTCCGCCTGATTCTGGGAAATCAAGATTCTGCCTGCTTCAGTCGTAAATACCCGCCTGTTACTTGAATTGGTGCTCTTTGGAATACTTCCCGAGCTTAGGTGGTTACCTCCCGCTTTGAAAGTCTACATCGCGGCGCACTAACCCCCCGTGGCCTAAGGCTTAAGGCAACAAGCGGCGAGACCGGCAAACGAGTCTCGAGCCAAGCTGATTCCAGAGGAGCTCCTTCACCCAGAAGAAACATGGAGCCGGAAAGGGACCGCCGGGATTCCTCTAGCAGGGACCCCACTGAGCCTCTGGCGGCCGATGGCTGGGCCGCCGCCGGCGATGGGAACTGGAGCACATCGGTGAGACCCGAGCGGCGCAAGGGACCGGTCGCGATATCCAAGAAAGGCTCCCTGGATTTGCCCTTTAAAGGTGGACAAGCACCAACATTGGCTAAGGGGTGCGATTTACATGATCATTCTTGGAAGTCTTAGACCATGGTACAAAGGGTCGCAAAAGGGCCACCCAAAACTGAAGCGACGCACACTAGGCGATTCCATGGAAGCTCCCAAGACCTAGAGAGCACTAAACAGCTTGACTTTTTGGTTCTACTAACATGGTTAAGGTTTATAGGCTCATATGGGTGTTTCTCAAAATAGGGGTTTCCTCTTTGGATGGTTTTTTTTAAGAGGAACCCCAAAGGACACCTGAATAATTTGAGAAGCGTCCACTCAGGCTTTGCTGTACCTCCCGCCCCTTCCCCCAATTACACCTATATTCCAAAATGGCTGAGGTGACCCCCAGAGTGTGGGCCATAGGCATGGTTTTAATGGAAATCCTTGCAGTCTGCATTCCACAAGGAGACCATGACCATCTCTCAAAGGGGTGATTGAACCATGGAACATACCCGTTGAGCCGAGCACACAAGTTCCCAATCTTTGGTCAGCTTGGCAACTGTCTGCTATATCTGTTGCACTAAAGTTGCACAGAAAGAAAGAAACACCAAACAACGTGGCCACGATTCGCGCAAACGATGTCCCGCTGGGTTCTCATTTAAGCACTCAAGCCTCTCCCTCCGTCTGTGGTCTAGAGGTAAGGATACCCGGATACCCATGGAGGAAGAGGCGTCTCAAAGCCAAACACAGGCACTTGGCCAATGTGAAATACCTGCCTACTCTAGGAATCGCACCAATGTGCACCACTTGCCCACTCTAGGAATCGCACCTTTTCTACCATCACCCATTTAGCCAAGGGCAAAGAGGTTACAGTGTTGACAAATGTTGACCCAAATGACGTGCTTGTTCCATGACTCCAACAGCCCATCACCAAACTGCTGTCTCCAGAAGCCGTCACAGACTTCTCTCCAGCCATGAACCCCCGCCTGTTTTTCTGGACTCAACATGACAAGCGTTGCTCCAAAATGACGAAAGCACGAGACTACAGCCAACCCTGAAGTACCCTTTCAACTTTAGGCATGGTCATCCTGTAAAGCTCGGAGCAACCCAACAGAGGTTTGATTCTGCTAGTTCTCAAACAAAAATAACATGAGTTGTGTCGGACGCTGTTCAGGATGCTAAAGGTGCATGCCATAATGTATCTGATGCCAACATCGGATTTGGCTTGGTTCTTTGCTTCCGTGACAAAGAGCTTGTTCCAAGATCATTGGGTAAGTTCCACTGCTGACGTCACTGCCCGGGAGAGACACAAGCTATTGACCAGGCATGACCATTTCACTCTGAAACCAAGTGGGAACAAACGCTGAGACGATTCCCTTAGGCACATGGAACAGTTGTTGACCAAAGGTGCAAGTCTTGGACAACGCTTCGGGCAGGCTAGTGGCGCCTCAACTCTGCTCGTTCACCTTCCGCATCATGTGCATAAACTCCTGTGCAGAGAGATGCAGGATGGCCATTTTGGATATACAAACATATTTGCCCAACCCTGAAGAGGGCTTACCGACAACAGCGAAACAAAACAAGCGATAAGTTCATGGAGAAACGGCATCAACAGCTCAGATTGAGCAAGCAAAGGAAGTGCAAGCAGGAGAAGTGAAGCAGAGGCAAAGACGACAAGGCAGGCACAGGAGAGAATAAACTAATCAAAACGCAAACAGGACACCTATGGAGAGAACAAAAATAAGGACAGGCAGAAAGAACACGCTGGAAAAAAACAGTTGCACAAACTTAGTCAGGACCTTGCACATGGAGGGGGGCGCCTCACATGGCGCTGGTATGCCTTTTGGGACATCGAATCAGCAATGCAGCGCTTCACAGTCTAAGATGGTTTGACCCCCCTAACAAAAAACACACACACACACACATCACCCCCCGGGCAATCAGGGGAATACGCTTTCTATCCAACTAAAAACAGCGCATCCTTGAGGTTCATCACGCATTTAGAAGTGTTAGATGTCTCGCTAGACAATTCCCTGGGCATCAGTTTGCCTAGTTGATTGAACAAGCAGAACTTGCCCATAAGATATTACAGGAATCTCTCGAGTTTGTTAACATTCAATCCTACATCGAGGTTTCAATCTGTTCGACCACCATCATTCTAGCAAAGGGCCAATATGTAAAATGTTGCCAACCGTTGACACTACAAACCAATAGCAAAGCCTCTGCTCGCAACGGAGAAAAAAAAAAGTTTTGTTTTATCCAAGCTATGGTCCCTAATTTTCGGACACCCCTCCCAAACAAAAACTTTCACGGAAGCAGCAGGAAAGGTTTGCTGTTCAAAATCCCACGTTTCTCCCTCACTTTTATGGTCCAAACCAACTTACTCCCCCCCCCCCGCGTTTTTTTTTTTTTAGACGTGCTTGGATTGCAAAAGTCTGAATTGCAACATGGGTCTTTTGAATGGGGGTACAGCATCCAATATCTGGGTGAATTGTGGTTCAAGCTGAAAGCAGACATGGACACCCATTTGATCTCGCATTCCTTTGAGAGGCAAGAACGAATTGCCAGAGGTTGGACTGCAAGATCAAGCTGGCAACGGTTTTAAAGCTTCAGCTATCTAACTCTGTGTTCCCTGCTAGGATCCCTCCTCAAATATCAGCCAGTCATCCATCATGGGCCAAGAGCTCACATAGTCAGGACGCCAATGAAGACGGAACACAGAATAGCGAACAGCCATCAGCAATCCCGATTGATTCAGGGCCTTCAAACAGCCAGGTCTTGAGAACCCCCAACCTCCGGGGTGTCTAATGGAGGGCTCGGGTTTTCCCTTGAAAGCCGAAGCCAGGAGCTGGGTGAGAAGGGTTGCGCCTGAAAGTCGATCTCGCCGTCGCCGTTCTTGTCGACTTCCTGGCAATGGCAGGCATCGCGGTGGCTCGGCTTCTATCAAAGGCCACAGGAGCCCATGACCATAGGTGGCCTTTTGGAAAAAATATATGGCCCTGGTAAATGGAACAAAAACCCGACTAAACCAGTGCCATCTATGGTTCACCAAGCTAACCTAAAAAGGACTCCTATGCCCATGACGCTTTAGCCGAGGTTCCTTGGTACACACAAAAAGTGCCCCGAAAAACTCGGAGCCATCTTGGACCATAGCCTTGGAGCATTCGCCAGGCCCCAAAGGCACCGAAACAAGGCAAGAGAATACCCGGTGAGTCAGAAACGTGTCCCCTGGCCAATGTCCAAAGTATTGAGGTCGAATTGTGAGACGGCGGCGCGCGTACTTGACCTAGAAAGCTCCGGCATGGACAACAAGCTATGGGTTGGTCTGACTGCACGTCAGGAGACCCGTGGAACAAACTCGCGACTCCTGGTGCTTCTGGGGCCCAGTAGTGATCTTTGTGTAAAAAATAGGGAGTCATCCTGGTGTGGCAAGAATGGAAAGTCCTCCTAGTTTGCGCGTGAAAACTGATGATTCTGGTTTTTGTGTAACACAGAGTGACTAGTTTGGTTTGTGTGCTAAAACGTCCTGGTGATAGTGGCAAACTTTGTGAGTCCATCCGTGTCTCCCAAATGGACCGTACACTCCTGGATACTGGTATGTGCCTAAACGGTGCACTCCTCCACTTTTTTTGGCTTCCCATGAAATCAACCCCGAAAAAGGCACCTGCAAAAACACATCATATATATATATA